CTCTCCCGCTTCAATGCATTTTCGATGTTAAGCGCCGTATGGACACCTTTTAACTGTGTAATGTTGTGGGCGCAATTTTAGATGTGACGTTTTCACGAAAGGCATTGCATAATACATTTCTACGGATGCTTGGTATGATGCTTTTTCCAGCGATTGCACATCCCGAAATACAGTCGCTAAAATGGCACACACGGCGAGTTGTAACCAATAACGTAAAATATGTGATATCGCATTACAGATCAAAGGCGTTCCGGACGTCACCAAACACGTTTCTAATGTTATTGACGCTGTCTCAGCCAAATACGGCGGTAACATTGTTGCCAAATGAGTAAGCGCGTAACCGGGATTTTCGTAACGGACTCACGGTTTTGAAAGGATGCCGGCGGGCGCAAATTGACCCCAGCAGCCGACGCGCCGGAAACCTCCAATCAGCAGTCATGAAAAGGTGCTCTGTTTTTTAAGGCTCCTCGTCTTATTTCTTAACTGGGAGGGGGACAAGAGCGTAGTACACTGTTTTCAAACTTTTAAGTACGAACGTAGTGTTGTTTGTCGCCGTCGTTTCTCCATATTCGTAACTTGATACCTTCCAACTTTGGAAACCGCTGTCTAACACCTGATTTTTACCAAAATAGTTACGGGGAATGGCAATGGAAGGCTATACCCGGTCATACAGGCATTCGGAATGAGCATATGATCGTCACTGCGTGGGCGCCAATTCCAAAAAAATATAGAGCTTTCAGTTGTATCAGAGGTGCCCCGATATGACGCAGATAGTAGGTACATGCTTGCATGCTGAAAGTTAAATGGGTAGAGGTAGAGGGAGCTTCTAAACCGCAGGGTGCTGCCCAGTCCAGTGCAACGTTTTTAAATCAGATCCTCCCACCATTCGCCCTTCCCACAAATCTCGTCCCATCTGCGCTCATCCAGGGAAGCAAACAGGTTTTCATGATGATCCATGCATAGACGTTCCACTACTGGACTTGGCACTCCAGATTGGCCGTAATGCTCAGCGCGCCGCCCAAGCCCGGTTTTCAAGAAGCATAGCCGCTCACCCGGCGAACAAGGAAGACATCGGCGCGATGTTCTGCGTGTCATGAGCTTGTATCGTTGTTAGGAGATCTCAGATTCGTTTCAGTCCGGTCAACAGTTTTGGCGAGACGTTTAGATGCTTACATTTCGCCCCGAATTTTAGGTATTAGCCCCGCTTTATAGAATTGCAACTTCCTACGGCTCTCGCTCGGCTGGTAAGCCAAATAGAGACCCGCACACGGGTATTTCCGGCGTGAGCTCAAGCATTTGGGTCCAATTCGTGTTTATGCAAAACAAAAAAAGATATCTATAAGAACAAAGCCACCACGTGACAACAGTTCGCACGACATCCCTCTCACTACTTCTTTCAGCCGGTCACCCTCTGCCTCTTGTTCGTGTTTTGGTCGCGAGCCGTGACGTCACTCCCCGCACTCTTCCTCTCGCTATGCAACTCTTCCCCTTCCTCTCGCTGTGCACCTCTTCCTCTTCCCCTCGCTGTGCACCTCTATACCTCTCCCTCTGGCTGTGCACCTCTATCTCTTCCTCTCGCTGTGCACCTCTTCCTCTTCCTCTCGCTGTGCACCTCTTCCTCTTCCTCTCTCTCTGTGCACCTCTTCCCCTTCCTCTCGCTGTGCACCTCTTCCTCTTCTTCTCGCTGTGCACCTCTACCTCTCCCTCTCGCTGTGCACCTCTATCTCTTCCTCTCGCTGTGCACCTCTTCCTCTTCCTCTCGCTGTGCACCTCTTCCCCTTCCTCTCGCTGTGCACCTCTTCCTCTCCCTCTCGCTGTGCACCTCTTCCTCTTCCTCTCTCTCTGTGCACCTCTTCCCCTTCCTCTCGCTGTGCACCTCTTTCTCTCCCTCTCGCTGTGCATCACTTCCTCTTCCTCTCACTGTGCACCTCTTCTTCTTCCTCTCACTGTGCACCTTTGACACGTCCTCTCGCTGTGCACCTCTTCCTCTTCCTGTCGCTGTGCACCTCTTCTTCCTCTCACTCCGCACCTCGCTGTTCATGCCCTGCCCTAATCCGATGTAAATGCACTGGGCAAGGCGGCAGCCATTTTCTGGAGCACTTTCTCCGAGATGCTGTGACCTTTTGCACAAGGTGAACCAGCCAGCCGGTCCACCTCCTTCCCACGGGTCGCCATAACCGTCTGGAGGGCCTCCTTGTGCTCGGTGTAGCCAAAGAAGGCGTACCTGGTGACTATCCATCACCAGCCACCAGCAAAAGTTGCGTATTTTTTGGAGAGGATAACGGCCACGTACGCGTGATTCCCACTGTTCAGCAACTGGACGTTATTGAAGTTTAAGTTCTGTATCCCTCCACGTTCCCCTTGAACATCGGCCCCCTCCGTCCTTCGCGTGCCTTCGAACATGGACCTTGTGGGCATCAGCCGGCTCCAGACATACCCGTTTTGACGACGAGTCTGCAGCAGATTCACATTTATGCGCTCTCAGGAAATGAGGGTGCCAAGTAGTCAGCCACGAGCACCGCATGTTTTCGAAAGAGGCCGCGTATCGCTTAATTTATCACTCCAGAATACCGGTCAATCTTCACTTGAATATTTTCGTTCAGGATTCAGACATCAGCTCTGGCCCACCGAAAAGATGCGTTCTAAGTCAGTTGTGCAGCTGAAGCCTGTCCACGCGGCTGGGTGCTAAAGGAAATGGCGGCTGCTGGTGACACAAGCCAATCTTCTGCCAGTGAGTGGCACGTATCACAAATCTTGCGGTTTTATTTTTTTCACTTTCGTCTAATGTATCCGTTAATAGATCGATATTATTTTGCAAGATATCCTCGAATATGATTACATGCCAGCATTACGCCTTTTCAGAGAGGTCTTTAGAAAATGTTTGAAGTGCTTTCCTCAAAATTGCGTGTGTTTTAAGTTCTGTTCGTTATTTTTGTTAACCTTGTTCACTCGACACCTTAAAAAGAGCTTGAAAGGCGGGGTGATGTCAACAAAGCCAATGCTGGATTGATGACGTTTAACCAGCACATCCTACTATACTCAATGTCTACTTTACCCAATGCCAATGACGCGGTATAGAAAACAGCCAATCAATCGAGCTCCCGCTTATAAGTTTCTCTTACCGTAGTTTCACCCTATATCATTTGACCTTATTTACGACCTTATCATAAGTTATTCTTACCACAATTTTGCCAAGGCAAGCTCAGGCTGGCTGCGCGATTATATGATTATGACCATCTTAGGAAGTGTATGCAACGAATATCAGTTGTTGTAACAACAGTGATTATAGGCAACTATTTAGACGGCGCGCTATGGGCCATTGACCTGGCTGCCACCACGTGGCGCCTAGCGCACTGTGGACAGCATCGCGCATGGCACGCGTCTTCCGGCACGCGCTGAGATGATGGCCGAGATCAGCGCGGAGCTAGTCCGGCATTGGCTGGTCTTCTCAGGGATCATGCCCCGTCCAGCTGGCGCATGTAAGGGCGCTCAAGTTTCAATTTAAGATGTCACGTCTACAGTGGCTGTGAAGTTGTCCTTCACAGCCGTCGAGGCCCCTGCCCCGCCCCCTTGCCCTCGTCAGCCCTTGCAGCCGTCCGGGGCGTTGTCCCGGCTGCGAAACTTTGGAATCATATGTTGTGTTATTTGATGTGTAACAAGGGTTGTTGCAAGAAGCTGGCGTTTTATGTGTGTGGGTTTTAGGTAATTTCATTGGCAGGCGCAGTGGCGTGAACATTTCTCAGCTAAAGCCGCCTAAGGTCGAGCTTCAACGGCCGTCAAGCTGTTTGATGCAGTAAATTTTACGGTTTTGATTCGGGGGTTCTTATTCTGACGACAATCGCCTGTTAAGATACCAGACTGTGCTGGTTGAGCGATGTTCACGCCCTCAGTACGCGGTGCCTCAGCTCGATACCGTGTATCGGCTGCTGGTTGAGCGATGTTCACACGCCCAGTACGCGGTACCTCAGCCCGGTACCGTGTATCGACTGCTGGGACGTGAGATCCTGAATAGCCGGAATGCTCGTGCTGTTGGCATCATGTGCAATGTTCGCGGTGCCTGATGTTCCTGGTAAGACACTCTGACCTTATGCCGTAGTTCCGTGTGTCGGGCGTTCGTAAGGGGGAGCTCAAGTGATTGACTGTTTTGGTACTGTTTCATTGGCACTGCCAAAAGAAGACCTTCAATACGCCAAGAGGTGCTGGTTAAACGACGTCACAAGGCAAACATTGGCCATGATGACAAAACTTGACGTTCCAAGCCATCCGTTCGGTCGCAGGTGAACAAGGCTAATACAAAACCATACGTGGAATTAACATGCATGCAAAATGCAAACTGAAAAGTATGCTCTGATTCGTGGCATTTGGTCACGTGTCGTAATACTTAAGTGCTATTTTTTGTTAACCTCGTTTACTTGTGGCCTTTAGGACAGTTTCAAACGCCGAGCCTTGTCAACATAGCCGGTGCTTGCTTGATGACGTCGGTAGACCAGCACCTCCTGGTATACTGAAGGCCGATTGCCAGACTTAGAACTCTCAACACGCAATGCCGAAAAACCAGGAGCTCGTCGTCTTTCTTCCTTATATAAAGACTTTCCCTGTTGCCTGGCAGTATGCTTTCCTTCTCCTTCCTGTCACCTGGGGGATTTCCTGGGAGGTCCATTATGTCTATTTCTGCCTGACAGCACATCGGTACGGTTTTGACAAGGTCAACTTGTGGCGAAAAAATTTCCGTCTCTTTAGGTGCCCCACCTTTTCCGCGCACGCGTTGTCGGCATTATCGGCTGAAAATGGTTTTGAGAAGGCCAGCGATTTTCTCCAAGAACCCCGCACGTAAGCATTGCGTGTCTTTCATCCGAAGCCAAGCTCAGGTGCAAAGTGGCAGCATGAGACGCATCCTTGCACGAACGAATGCTTAATGGTCTTCTGTGCTGCTGCTGTGGCGTGTGCTAGTGGCCAGGTTCGTGTCACGGGCCGCGGAGAATGCCCTTTCGGTGTATTGCTCACGATACCTGACGTGGCCAGAGGCCGCAGAATGGCAGCAGGCGGTGGTGCCTGCGTGTCCTGACGTGGCCAGAGGCCGCAGAATGGCAGCAGCTAGGGGTGCCTGCGTGTTGATCGACGTGGGGGCATCTTAAAGACGCGGTCGACCCAATTGAAGTGATCGTGGTAATTTTCGGCAACTGAATAGCGTAGGGACCAGTTCAGTAAGGTACTAATAAAGCGCAAGTCGTTGGGTGTGTGCTTTTGGAGATGTGCTCTTGACATCCTGCATTGCGCCGGTTACTTCATTTTCCGTAATCGACGTATGTGTCTGGTGCTTCGGCTGCTTTCGTAACTTTTGCGTTATAATTTAAATGCTGCAAAAGCATCAGAAAATGTCAAATTTCCCGTCCCTCTGAAAAAATTATTTCAGCATACCAATGTGTTTGCGTAATCAAAGTTGTCTTTGCAAGACCCTTACGCGAGACGATCCATCGTCGGAAATATTGTGATGATTCCGGAGGAATTTTGGATTTAAGACGGGGTCCGCGGCACATTAAGTGAGTGAGCGTGGAACCACTCACTTCGTTTGCACGCTCAATAAGAATGAACGTGGAAAGTTTTTTCAAAAGGTTTCAATATCGGGTTTTTATTAATCACTCATCATATCATTTGGCCGCGATTTTCTCGTCCTCCTGACCAAAATTGGATAGGCTGATCTTTAATGAAATGCTGTATCTCGATCAATGGTTTCAAACGGATGAAAAGTGTATTATAGACAGCTGAGGACATGGTGCCAAGCGTTTTAAGGACTTTGACTATCGCGTGCTAAAATATATGCATGACCACCCTGAGCAAAACATTTGGGGGGGGTTGGTGGGCAAACATGCATCTAAACACAGAATGCACTGCGAAGACTATCAAAGTAAGAACAAGATTACAGGCGCAACTAGTCTATGTCGATACGTAGTCTGATGTCTTGGTTTTACTTTCTCAGTGTTTGGGATGCACGCTGTGTACCGATGTACGTGTTCATATCCTGAGAAGATACCCATAAATGTCTTCGCACTAATGGATATCGCAGTCGTACATCTTTTAACGTAGTATTTTTGTCACGTAGTGTATGCAGAAAGAGGTTTGCACACAATAGTTCAACAAAAGCGTTTAAGACCTCAGCTGAAAAGCAACAAAAACCACAGAATCTGAACAACCTCCTCAGCAAAACGTCAGCTGTCTGCGGTAAAACACGTACGCTGAAGAAGACGGGTGGTGGAAATATATTGCATTTTATTCAGCGTACACCTTTCATTTTTTACACAAGCACGACGAACTCGCGGTCAAGTGATGGCCAGTAATCTAACTGTCATCTTGTTCCCTGCAACAGCGCTGAAACGAGCTTAATTATCAGAGCGAATTCGGACTCGAAATCAGAACAAGCTCCGAGTGTCCCAGCGGGATTCTGATTAAGTGCATGGAAGCACAATTGTGCGCGTGTGCTCGGGCTGGGTCTTCCGTCTTTGCCGCGTGAATACGGACGCGGGAACGTTAGCATCGCCTGTAAGCCGGACCTGTGCGCGTAAGATAGGCTGATTGAAAGTTTATTGGTCGAATTCTGTAATGTAGAAGCAAAATTATGGGCATTGGCAAGCAAAACGACGAGCAGGATTTCAGCAAGATCTTTAAAAAATAATTTTGAGTTATGTGGGTCTCGTCGTGGGCCTGAGGAGTTCTTACGACGTGACGGATCTGAAATATGTAAGAATATGGACACACCTATCCTCCACCAAATGCCGCACCGCATCGGATTGGGGTCATTTTTATTTTGCATTCATGTGAAAACCAAATACGAAAGTGTCAACAAATTGTCTACAACTATATGACGCGTTCCAAAAGTCAGAATCGCAAGTCGGAGTCAGAGGTTGGCTAGATGCTCTTGACTGACTTCACTTCACACCGCCGACGACGCCGCTCGTGTCACCATCTACCCAGCTCCTTCAGCGACGCTGGTGGCGGCGAACTTCATGCTGATTCGGCCATGCTCCGCAGCGGGCTTTGCCGAAACTTTCCGGCGCGACGCCCGACAGATGGCAGGTCAGGCGTTGAAGTCGCGACTCGGGCGGCGCGGCTGCTCCAGGCCGGGTATGGCTCACATTGCCTGAGGCGTGCTGTGGGAAGGCAAAGTTTTGGGATCGTTTACAGCGTGAACCCGGAAATTAAGAGGTGGGAGTGAGTCGGATTGTCGATAGTGTTGGGTCGCATTACGTCAAGTTCTATTTTTTACTATCGGATTATCTACTATCAAATATGTTTTCTAACACCAGAGGAGGGAGCGGTTGGCGCGTTCGTGCAGTTCTCCCAGTGGCGGAAAGCCAGTCAAAAGTATCTAATGTCATGGGATGCAACACATTTGCTATGCAGAGATCACACAATTCGTCCGTTTTGACACACCGACGAGCGCCGTGGCCCTGAGCCCACTCCCTCTCCCCCTCTCCCATTGCCACGCCTATGTGCCCAGCGTTAACATCACCAGTGGCACGTTAAACGTACCGCAACGTACGGCGAAAAACACGACAGTGGTTGAACACGGTACAATTCGTGTTTCGTACTTCTTTTTTTTAGTTCGGGTAATTCTAACATGCCACGTGCTCTGATCAAAGCATCGGTGTATTCGTGAGTTCAAACAGCGGTACAACACCTCCACTGTTCCCGTGCTGGCGGCCTTGTCATGCACTCTGCTGATATCAATTTCGACCGGACATCCGTGAGCTGCAGGCCGCAGCTCGCCACTTGTAACACGGGACTTGTCACTGTGTGTAACGAAGATCTGAATACGCCCTCAGCTCTGTGTGGACTAGGCTGTGTTCTTTTCTCGTTGCGTGGGCGTCTCCTCTTCCGTATGTTCACACGTCTCACGTTACTTAAGTACCGTTCGCTAGATTTGGGAAGATAGAAAGGCGTTTCACACCCTGACTGGTGCCACTTGTACTTCAATGAAGGCACGATTTCCTCTGATTGTGCACTGCTGTGCCTGTTTGACTTCACGAAGCCGGAAAATGTGAAAAGCTGACCGTCTCGAAACCCAAGTTGATAGGTTGCTACCACTTGTTCACGAATCCCGCAGCCAGAACGGGGCAGGACGCTCTAGGTCGCCACGCATCGGCGCTCTGTGTGCCCAGTTTCGGCGCCGGGTCGCGTGGCGCGGTCGGCCCGCCTTCGTCGGGCGCCCTGATCGCGAGGCACTGCTCGCGCCGCGTTCGCTAAGGCCGCTGGCCAGGCCCGCCGCCCGCGCCACAGCCACATGCTGCTCACGGGGTGCCCAGACAAAAATTCGAGTGGGTTTTGGCCGAATGGTGAAGAGTCCAACAAAAAGCGGAACGAAAATAGTCAAAAGGGGTTATAGCCAGTTGGGATAAAAGCCGAATCGAAAAAATTTAGGCCAAAAAGTCAAGAGGGATAGAAGTGGATAGGAAGAAAACTCGAATGGGAAAAATGGAATGGAATGGGAAGAATCGACAGTGATAAAACTTGAATCTGGAGAAAGCCGGAGGCACAACAGTTCGCATGGGATGCAATGTGACAGAGATACGAGTCAGATCGGATGAAGTCGGACAAAAAGTAAACAGCGAGAAAAGTGGCGACAATGATGAAAGTCGACAGCCGCAAAATATTGGAAAGCACTGACAGGGGGCAAAAAGTTGACAGTGATCACACACGAATCAGAGGAAGTTGTGACGGATAAAAGTCGACAGGGATGAAAGTCAGCTTGGAAACAATGTCACGGGCAAAAATTTGACATGGATAAACGTTAATTGGGATAAAAGTAAACAAGCAGTTATTCAGGAGTATTCAAAACGGGAGAGGGTGTGATTCGACGCCTGCCGTGAAAGGAGATGCCACCGACTACGCTCAGGTGCACCTGTGGGTTCAATGGGTCTCGCTTTCTCGTATACCGGGGTGCTCTTATATGGGCCCGCCCGCGCTCACCTGACAAGAAGCGCTCCTGACAGGAAGCCGGCCTTCGGGTCTTCACGACCGAACCATGCGGAATACTCCCTAAGGTTATCAGGGGGACAATCTGCCATGGATGCCCTGCTAGCCTTCATCTAGGCCCTCAGAATTATCTTTCTAGCCGTGTTCTGGGCCGGTCGTGAACGACGAAGGCGCCCCCACGACAGGAGGCGGCGCACGGCGGCGGCGTCCGTCGTCCGCCGTTTTTCCGTTAGTCCTGGTGCTGGACAGACACGTACCTGGTTTCCAATGTCGGTTCCTGGTGGCCACGTCCCTTTCTGAAAAAAGACATCTTGATCCATTGAACTTGATCTTGGTCCCGGCCAGTTGGGTCAAAACCCCGCCTCCTGGTTCCGGGTTCCTGTTAGCTGTTTTGCGGACACAGCACCTTGGTCCCTGGCCCCTGGCCCTCACAGTTTTTTTTTTTTTGCAGTT